TGCTGAAACTGATTTTAAGCTTTACTTATTGCCACTTCAGAGCAACATTCAGTCTGAGGATAATTTATCTCCTATTCTGAGGCAATGTCCTTCTGAGGATTCTAGTCAGTATCTTTCCATTCTGACTGGTGGGAACACAACTATTCTAAGCTTTGAATGAGGAACTTCCTATCTCCTGTTCCCTGGCGATCTTCCCCCAGCCTTGGTGGGTTTCTTCTCATGTCTGTGCAGGGAAGTACTCAACTAGATTCACGGATACTCACCTGCAGATCTCCAGAGCTCTCTTTCCCATCTCTGACGCTGTGCAGCTCCCTCCTCTGTAATACTGTGCCCCCAAATTCCAGTCATACTTGGGTTCCTCTCTTCTTAGCTGTGTCCACTAGGCTCTGGGCTCTTCTTTCCCTGCGCTGTAGCCTACAAACTGCCTCCAGAGGTAATCTGGGGGTTTATAGGGCTTATATCGTTTGTGTTACTTTTCTCAGCAATCACAGTCTTCCATTGCTTTCTGTCCAATATATGAAAGTCATTGTTTCATTTATTTGTCTGTGTGGCCTTCTGCCTCTGGCTTATGAATAGCTGCTCTGTAGTTCCCACATTAGTCCCTGTTCAAAGTTGCTTTATCCTGAAAGTCCCAAATGGATCATTACTAGTCATGCATTTATGCATTCATTTATTCATTCGTTACCTCGCTGCTAGGAAACTATGTGAGGAGAATTAGGGTGAGTAAGACAGTCACTATGTTGGAGACCTACCTGAGTATGTGAGTAAGAAAATTTTACTATAATAATTGGGTTATAGGGCTGCAATAGGAACAGGCCTGCTGTCCTGAAAGGATGAATGAAGTGTCATGGGAAACCAGGGCAGGAAGGAATTCATCATAACTCGAATGGGTTAGGAGCAGGAACCCGTAGGTAAGGAAGACTTCACTTTAGACGGAACTCACCTGTGGCACAATGCAACAGTCTAGTGCCCTCTGTAATAGGCTGGGTGCTTTTCAGAGAACAATGTCAGTATTCAGAGAGAATTAGCTATTAATTTTTAGTGCTTCTTCTGGGTAATTTGATGTATAGAAATTATAATCCTTTTAATTTCCTAATCTAGGAAACAGAGCCTAAACAAAAGGTAAGCGACAAGTCATGAGGATTCGTCTTAAATATAAATCACTTAAGCTTAATGCATTTTATGAAATTATTGACTTTGTTGAAAACAAATATGATATTTATCTAATATTATTTATTAGTCCTTCAGTCATCCATCCGTAGTTTTCCAAGAGCAACCAAAAATTGAACTAAAAACTATATCTTTAGTTTCCATTCCTTTATCAAAGTTTTATACAACTTTGAAATATATAAATCTTGAAAGTACTTCTGTTTAAAAGTTATAAATTAACAAGTTATGGACCTGGAACTTCCTTTGTTGATGTTTTTGAAAATAAATTTAATTTATTTAATGGAAATCAGGCTATTCAGATTTTCTAAAGTATAAAAAAGCAAATATATATTTAATTTGATTTTTTTATACTTTTATAAATTTTACATTTGCGTGTGACATTTGAAAAAGTATTAAAAATCAAATATATATTACATAAAAACATATTGAATTTTTAAAATTTTCATCAGAGAATGGAAAGCAGGAACATGTTTATGTATTTTGAGCAGCAAAAAATTCGTATATATATTTTATCCTACCTTCTCAATAACTCTATTAGGCAGGTATTGTTATTCTCATTTTAGAAATATTCAAACATGGGTAGTTAATAATAACCTGGAAATTTAAATTCAGACCCATATGATTCTAAAACACTTTCTCATCCTGCTTCAGCAAAAGTGCCTGGGAAGTGCCTTTAAGAATGGCTGAATGTAAGTTCTACTTATTTACCTTTAAATAGTACTTAGCATAATTTAAGGTATTTAATATGTGAGAGGAAAAAGAATGGAATTTCCTTCAGTCATTCACCCATTCAACAAATACTTATTGAATTTCTACCTTATGCCAGGCACAGTGTTGATAGGATTCAACTCTGCAGGAGACACAGCTCTTGCATCTCAGGTGCTTCCAGCTCTGGGAGGTGGGGGTGGGTGACAGAGGACCCAGGCTCTGTCAGAACAGCATAGTAAGTACTGCGCTGAGGGAGTCTGGGAGTGCAGAGGTGCACGCAGGGTGGGTACAAAACCCAGGCCTCAGAATTCATGAAGGCTTCCTGGACAATTTGCTGATACAGGAAGGATGAGTCAAACAGTGGAGGCGAGGAGCAGGGGTGAAGGTGGAGGGTGGTGGCAGTGTTCTAAGCAGAAGGACCTAATTGTACAAAGATGTCTGATGTCACAGGAGCCTCAAATGGCCTGACACGCTGTCTAATATTTGTTGGAACATGGGTGGGTAGGCAGAGCAGCAGTTACTGAATGGAGGAATAATTGAGGAACATAATCCAGCAATTACTGTAGGAGCAGGAGATGAGAGTTATTGACCCAGAAATTCCCTGTAAAAGGGCTTTCTTTCTCTGTCCTTTCAATTCCCAGAGACAGATTGTGCTGATGTCGGAGGGAAAATGTGTGCTTTTGTCCCTCATATCTAAGTAGGTCAGTATTTGCTAACACTCAAGGAGTCTGCATTATTTCCCAGTTGGCTAGAACATTGTGCTAATGAGGATCAGGTCTTAGGTTCAATCCCCTTACGGGCCTCTTAGCTTTGCTCTGTTCTGTAGTCCCAGGCAGTGCCCCCCTCCCAGGCTGTGCTTTCTGAAATGCCAGTGGCTGGACTGGGGAGACCTTCAGACAGATTAGAGAAAACTTGAGCACTCAGGGCCTCCGAGGGGTGCAGCTTCCCGTGAGTGTTCCACTAACAGCGCATAATCAATGTAATTGTGGTTTTCTAAGAATGCTTAAAACATTTAGTGCTACTCCCACTAAATCTCTCACCTCAGCTCCTGTGGAAAATTTCCTGCCAAGGACCCGCAATCAGCTACTATTCTCCTCTCCAGAGGCAGCTAACAATATTTATTAAAAATCTAGTCAATTAGGGGTCCTGTGATGCTGTATTGAGAGTGCCAGAAATACAATCCCTTGGATATAGAAGCTTAAGCTTAAATACCCACATATTTATCCGGCGATGACTTTACAGTACAATCTATAGACCCAGCTCCATGCTAGACATCTAGAAGAGAAGACACACTAATTAACAGTATTAAAGGTGGCCTGTGTGCCAAACATGTTTTATTTAATGTTCAAAATAGCAAAAATTATTTTATTTAATGTTCAAAATAGCAAGTCAAAACTTAAGCTCCCCATCACTTCCCTCCTTTCTGGGAGAGATTAAAAGTATGAAAATATGTGGTCATAGAAAAAAAACACAATGGTCAGAAATTTTCCCAGAAGAAATTTCCAGGCAGAGAGGTCCAAATAATTACAACTATAACCAGTATTTATCCGCATTTACTTTGTAGCAGAATTTTATTCTGAGCCCTTTATATCATTAAAAATCTTTCATCTTTAACTTGATTCAGTGAAGATAGATTCTGTAATCATTGATATTTTATCTATGAGGAAATTGAGGCAAAAAGGACAAAGAGGTAAGCCTGCCCAAGTTCATGAGAGGTAAGTGACTGAGCCAGGATCCTAACCCAGGCATTGCCTTAATTATACTGAGGAGGTTATACTGTGCTCATTTGCCATGCACATAGAGTCTTCGGTGATGGTCTATTAAAATCTTTTTCTCCTTTTAAAATCCGGTTATCTTCTAATTATTGAGCTTAAAAATAGTTTATACTGGACACAGTTACTTTACCAAATATGTGATTTGCAGATATTTTCTCCAAGTCTTTTTAGTATCTTTCAAAGGAAAAAATTTTCAACTTTGTTGAAGGCCAATTTATGAATTTTTTTTTCTTTTCTTATGCTTTCTTGTGTGTGTGTGTGTGTGTGTGTGTGTGTGTGTGTGTATGGGGGCACTAGCTAAGAGATCTTTGTCTATTCAAGATCACAAAGGTTTTCTTTTATTTCCCTCCTTGGAGTTTTATAGTTTTTACTCTTAGGTTGAGGCCTATGTTTCATTTTGAGTTAATTTTGTATGTGATGTGGGGAAAGGTTAAAATAATTATATTCCATATGGATATCCAGTTTTTCTAGCACCATTTGTTACAAAGACTGTTTTTTTTTTTCATTGAATTACATTGGCAGCTTTGTTGACAACCAATTAACCATAACTTCTGTTAATAATGTGTAATTTTTGGTGTACTCATCTTTCATATTTTGTTAATTTATCTGTAAATATTTTTTATGTGTATAGTGCTACTAAAACTAATATTTTTCATTTCAATTGCCAAATAATTTTTTTGTTGTTAAAATATAGTAATACGCTCTGGCAGGCATGCTCAATGGTTAGAGCGTTGGCCTGCACATTGGAGGGTCGAGGGTTCAATTCCTGGTCAAGGGCATAAACCTGGGTTGCAGGTTTGACCCCTGTTAACCCTATATACCATATTGGCAAGAATTAACATTTTAAAAATTTATGTCTTTTAACCTATTATATGGTTTATCTCTTTATTTATTTCAATGTATTATTTTACTATCCTTTTAATAACAAATTTTTCTTTTACCTTTTTAAAGATGTGGCTTTATTGTCTTTAAATCATGT